GTGAGATATGAGATCAGCCCAAGGAAAAAATTTCCTTGGGAAAATGGCTGAGCYGAGATGTTCCTGTGTCCCAGACTACCATTAGGCCTTAAGATCCATCTGTTGAAGGGACCTTGATGAAGGTTTCCNGCAGTAGGAGTAGCAGTAGTAGTAGTGGCAGTAGGAGTAGCAGTAGAAGCTAAAAGACATGTCAATACAAAGGCCTGAATAAACAGCTGAAAGAAGAAAAAGTATCAAGGACCTGAATAAACTGCTGAGAGAAGATTCCTGAGTTGCGTCTTCCTTGCGGGCAAGGGGTCGCGACACATGACTTTGGTCTCCATCCACTCAGCTGGTTTATCACTATGGCCAATAATCAGAGAAGTATAGATGTCTATCGGAAGTGTAGTTTTCCCAAAGAATTAGTTGGATCTTAAATCCAGAGTCTTGCCACTTCCATAAACTGATTTGCAGAAACTAGTTCACAGATTCCAGAATGGAAGGACTCCAGAGAGCCTGGTTACATACCAACATGCTCTTCCCTCCATTAGTGTATGAGAAGGGAGACCTGGGTTCTGACTTTCCTCTCAGAACTGGTATTAGGATAAGACAAACAATTATGAGCCCAACCTATAAAATGCTCAGGATTAAAAGGGCTCATGTGCCCAGAAAAAAATTGTGTTTGATACAAGATCACCCAATAGCGCATGCCATTAGGCTGTACCCCAATGTCTCTTAGATGTTATCAAGAACATAATCCACCTCATTCCCACAACCAAGGAGATATGTTCATGAGCCTCCCAATTCTGATCACAATTAAAAACACTGTACAGCACAACACAGGCACATGTTTGTCATTGAAGAGATAAATTCTGGGTTGGAATGAGACTTTTATGCAAAGACAAGTCATTGAAAGTGATCAGAATCTAGGAGGGCACTGTGTTGCCTACAATCCCAGTGGCTCAGGAGACTGAGGCAGGAGGATTGTGAGTTCAAAGCCAGCTTAAGCAAAAGAAAGATGCTAAGCAACTCAGTGAGACCCTGTATCTAAATAAAATACAAAATAGGGCTGGGGATGTGGCTCAGTGGTTGAGTGCCCCTAATTTTAATCCAAAGTTGAGAGAGAGAGAGAGAGAGAGAGAGAGAGACAGAGAGAGACAGAGACAGAGATAGATATCAGAAGCTAGAATAGATGTATTACCATGGGATCTGCAAAGCCGTATTTAGATTTGTCCTGTATATGAAAATGCCTTCTAAAACTCCTAATAATATTATATCTAGGTTAGATTCTTCATACATCCTAGGAGAAATGATTTTGCAAGGTTACCTTCAGGTCTTTAAGATCATATAGATATACCATTATAGACATTTTAAAAAAATAAAAAGTCTCTATGTACACCTTCTAGCCTTCCAAAAAAACTGATGTCTAATTTGTAGAAGTTCTGGGCTACACAGGAAAAAAACAAACTACATTTAATGTACTGCACAAAAATACCACTGACTATTAGATTTACCTTCAATGCTAATAGACCCCTATTTGACAATAGATGATGTTTGTATCAAATACATAAAGCCTAAATGATAATTCAGGGAAATGTTTGGGTAAATATCCACGAAATGACTGCTGTAGTTGCTTCTATTCTGGATATTTGGTCTTTGGGAATGGTACAGGAAGATGGATGCACTTCATATAGTCTGTCCAGGCCCAAGTGATGGGTAGCAGCACTCCCTACATGCAACTGATTAATCAGAATATGAAGCTTCAGGATCCTAATATTTTGGCTGAGGATATTTCCACAACCTTGCACAGCCCAGAATGACCCTAGTATATCCAAGGAACATAATTATTGGGAGTCTAGATGCTTTTACCCTTTTCATCTCTTCCTTGAGTGACACTGGAATTTTTTTTCTTTCCTATGAAGTAAACTCCCCATATTCCATGCTCTCAGGTCAGGGAATGTGTGGCTTGTCAAGGAAAACATTACTGTGTCACTCACCAGACACTAGAAGACACTCAACACCTGTCTTAAGACAGGAGGCACAGGCTCTAGCCTAAGTTTCCACCTGGTTGCATGGTGAGCACAGGGTAGAGGAGAAGAACCAGCAACTACCCCCTAGTTATATCAAGTCCCAGGTAAGCAGGGAAGTAACTGGGGAAACCACTGTGTCCTGTCTCTTCCTGTACTTAAGGTTCATAATGTATTTCTCAGATGTCATCCAACTGAGTTTATTACCTAGAAATTTCCCCATCAACAGCTCTGAATGCATTTTTCCTGCTATCAAATCCTCCTTAGGAGTTAATAGTATCTTGGACTAAACAGGTTACAGTTCTGGTCCTCTCACATTGTCACATTCTTCTCCCATCATCACACACCTTGTCTCTTCTCCCACTTCATGGATTCTGTTGTCCCCACACATGTGCTGTGATTTCTCACCAGTCCTGAGGGCAGCTCCAACTACCCATCTGCAGGGAGAGTCCGAGCTGCCGGTTATATCCCAGCCTGCCTGTTACTCTCTCTAATCACTGTATTAGTTTTCTGCAAATCATTACCCATTCGTGATTCTTTAACTAATATTATTTTAATTAGTTGATTTATTTGTGCTCTTATTTTCCCAAGTGGGTTGTAGATTTTTAAAAAATAAGAACATATGCATGAAAACAGACTCATGAGCGCATGGAAGCTAATTTTTTTTTTTTTACTTCCAAAAAACAAAGCACTTGGAAATAAATACTTACCTTATGAAAAATCTTTAAAAAATGGAGGCATAATGTTTTCTGGCTCCCTTACTAACCTATTCATTGTGCAACATGGGGCCTTTTTCAGATTCTCTTTCACCATCCTTACTGAATGAGCCTTCCATTTTTGTTTTAACTTGAGACCCCAGGATTGGTCTTGCAGCTCCAGCCATCCAACCTGTAGTTAAGGAGCCAAATGACAAAAAAAACAATATATTTCTCTTCCTCACAAGTGCAGACTTGCACTGACAAGAAACTCTGGCCAACTGCGTGTTCCATGTCATGGTTCTGTGCTGTAATTTTACTAACAATATTAGTGAAATTACCATCAGGGTATGATATGCAGATAATTAACATAGTGATTAGAGAGAGAGTGAGAGGAAGGGTGGGATATAACCTATGGCTGGGACTCTCCCTGCAGATGTGTCACTGGAGCTGCACTCAGGACTTCTGAGAAATCACAGCACATGCGTGGGGACAGCAGAGTCTATGAAGTGGGGGAAGAGACTGTGTTTGTGATGATGGGAGAAGAATGTGGCATTGTGAGGGGACCAACACAATGGTCAATGCTGGCTGCTTATCTTGGAAAAAGTGTCTGGATTTTCAAGAAAGAGAAGAGACCAAACACAGGCTCTGGTAGGTGGGACAGACTATTAAACTGCACACTAGGTGTGTCAAAAGAACAGCCTCAGTCAGAAGATGGAAACTCCTAGAGCAAAGGATGCATCATGTTCCTGCTGAATTCCCATCATGGAAGCAGGTGCAGACCATAGTGGGTCTGAAAAAGCATTGGCGAGAAGGGGCTTCTGTCTGTGTCTGTGCTTCTTATCACTCACTCACATTGACTCTGAACCTGCAGCTGACACTAGGAAGAGCCAGTTCCTGAGTCCAGTTTCACCCAGCATCAGGACCAGGAACCACTTCCATGAGCACTCATCACCGTAAAAATCATGCAGAGATCACTCAGGTGGTTTCTGACTTTCCTCTACCTAATGCACCTGTTCATATTTTCCTGTGTAATGTGAGCCTTTCCTTCCTGGTCCTGAGAATGGTAAAATCCATAGTAATAAGATGAATTTCCTCCCTTGGCCAAAGATCAAGAAAACCTGGGCCTGAGGGGCAGGTTCTGAATCTGCACCTGGACCAAGGATGCCCTGACATACAGCAGCCAGTTTAGAGTGGCCACTAGGGGGCAGTTGAGAACCACCTGACAAAGCCCCCTGGAGATGGGCTGGGCTTGGACTTCAGGATTCAAACACACAGGAGGGTTAGTAGTGACCACCCCTGAGATCTAGAGAAAAAGGTGTCAATTTTCTACAATGTCGTCTTTGAAACAAGTTCATTTTTTTTGTTCTTCATTTCTCTCATATCTAGCTCTTCTAGAATTTTCTTATTTGTTAGATGTTTGCACAGGAAATCTTCCTGCTTTTCCTGACACCTTCTCAACCCAGCTCATCTCATTGAGCTAAATTCTGGACCTGTCACACATTTCCCAAACACCAGCTCTCACCCTGGAAGGGAGATTTCATATGCAAGAGGATTAGTGACCATGACATGAGACCTGGAGGAAATTCTGGATTTTTCTCCAAGTATGGGGAATAACAATGATGTAAATATTCTTTGATGCCTGTGTCTCCTTGATCTGATATTTGAAGAATGTCCCTGTGATATGGCAGAGGTCCAGTATTCCCCAGGCTACCATTCATGCGGAAGCTCTGTACCTATTAGTATTGCAGGATAGGTGTAGAACCTGCCTATAGCTATAAGGAGATGTGAGGCAGAGAACCCAAATCTGCATGTGGCATTCACACCAAGGACAGAGAGATATAGCACCCCATTGGATCTTTAAGATACCAGATACACTTATGGAAGCATTTGGTTGACCCACACAGCCTAGGAGCTGTATCTGGGACAGGATCCCATAGAGGATAAAACCTTGTATTGTCAACCAAACAGTTGATTTTGATGACAAAGACAGACTCAACATTATAAAACCAGGCTAGCCCAGATTCCCGGCTAGAAAAAGACCTGGGATAGAGACATGGCCATGAAATTGGGAACATAAAGGAGCATTCTGTGAGCTGGGGGTAGTTCTTCAGAGTTGCCCCTCCCACTTTTTGACTCCCTAGGCATGAGCCCTTCTTTGGACTCACACAGCTTCCTCCAGTAGCAGACCCAAGCTGGCCTGATTTGCATATCAGGCAGCTGTCCCCAACAAGGAAATAAGAGAGGTCAGGGTGAACACAGATCAGCCTGGGACTCCAGAAGCAGCTAAAGGGACACCATGACCTGGACAGCCTTTTTCCTCAGCCTCCTGGCTCATTACACAGGTGCTGCCCCCAGGCCCCAACATACACCCCAGCCCAAGGCTCCTGTATAGCTAACTTGGCCTTAATTCTGAGCTCAACAGGGCTTTGTCTTTGGTGGGCAGGATGGTGCTCAGGACCTGCTGCAGGAGAGACTTTAGGCTGAAATTCCAACACTGGGCTCTCTGGCTTGTGTGAGCCAGAGAAGGAAAGGGGTTGGGTTTGCTCATGGGTTCAAATCTCCATTCTCCAATAAGGCTCATGGGCCACAATGGCTGATTTTGATGCCAGGGAATGTCCTTGGTTCTATAGATTTCCTGAAGCTCTTTCAGGCTAGGGGGAAACTGGGCACCTCATGGGAAGTGTCTGTCCCCATTAGTCCTCACTCTCCTTTTATTTCCCTTTAGGCTCTGTAGCTTCTTATGTGCTGACTCAGCCATCATCAGTATCAGTGACCCCAGGACAAACGGCCAGAATCACCTGTGGAGGCAACAATATTGGTAGTAAAAGTGTGTACTGGTACCAGCAGAAGCCAGCACAGTCCCCGCTGCTCATCATCTACAGAGATAGCAATCGGCCCTCAGGGATCCCTGACCGATTCTCTGGCTCCAACTCTGGGAACACAGCCACCCTGACCATCAGTGGGGCCCAGGCTGGAGACGAGGCTGACTATTACTGTCAGGTGTGGGATGGTAATGCTGCTCACAGTGACACATGCAGACAGGGAAGTGAGACAAAAACCTTCCACCAGCCTGGCACCAAAGGCCTCTTTCTGCTCTGGCACCCTGATATCAGAGAGCATGCCACATGCTGTGGAGGAAGGGTACTTCCATCCCTGTCTAGATATTCCTGAGAGATGGAGGGAAGACGCTTGCACCTCCCCAGGATGAGTTGATTCCACTGGAACCTGAGAATGTCCTTCTTATGGACTTGACCTTCCAGTCCCATAGGCCACAGCAAGTTATCAATTATACAAAACTGAATCTTAGTATTAGGAGAATTTCACTGTTGCAGGGTCTTATTTATAGTTATGAAGAGGAAGGTTGGGTTATGGTTCTAAGTTTGGAAGATGTGTCCTGGGGAGGTTCAAAGCATGTTTGCAAAGGAGGGTTTTGATGTGTATTCATGTAACTAGTGTTATACTAGGTAGGGTTGGTATAAATTAGACTTGGGAAATTTTGCTTTGGGTGTTAATTATTAAACTTCTATTTGATATGGTAGGTGTTTGTTCAGGTAAGAACTATTTCTTCAGTGAATCCAGCTGTTTACCTGGGAAATCAGTTTTCAGGAATGTCCCAAAGCAAAATATTGTAGTTTACTCCCTCATCCTCCTGAGCACAAATGTCTTGTGACCAACAGTGAAATTGACACTGGTCACCTTAGTCCTCAGCTCCAACAAACACTCTGTGGGATGACAATGACCAGTTGAGAGGAGAGCATGTGATATTCCCAGAAAAAAACAGACACACATGTCTTCAGGTAGAGGGTAGGGAGGTATCGGGTCAACCATCTCAGTCCTGTAGAACTTGTCTACACTGGGATAGAAATGAATATGTGAGAGTTCCCTAGTGGTGTCTTTCAGAGGGTTTCAGTTGTAGGAAATGTCCTTGACTGCCTGTGCTACTCCGAGGTCTAGTAGAGAGGAAAACCTGGCAATGCCTGCTCCAGTTTCTTCCCAACAGTGTCTTCAGGATCCTCCATCCCTCTGCAGCACACCCTCATCATGCCTGCCTTTAATCCATGATCTCCCCTCCCTCTGTCCCCTGCTCCAAGGCTTTCTTTCTGTAAGCCCAGGGTCCCACTTCTACTACATGTCAGATCCTGCCTAGTCCAGACCCAGGGACATAGCCAGAAGCTTCTGTCCCCATCAGCTTGAGAAAAGCCTTAGGGCACCATAGCAAACAACCATGGGATGATCAGCCTCATTTATAACTAAGTAGGTGCCAGAGGACTGACCTTAATTCCCTGAGATACACTCACTGGCTTCAGAAGCAGCCCAGTAAAACCTCCAGTAATCCCAAATCCATTCCCATTTCTGATGGAACCAGAGGTCATCTTGGATGTCTCCTGCTGGCCACACTTAACTCTACCCAAATCTCCTACAAGAACAAAGGTCCTCATTATCCGTGAATATTAAACTCTTTATCCTACTTATTACTCATGTGAACTTAAGAATTAAGTGTATCAAAAAACACAGTATGTTGGACATACAGGTGATTCTGCAACAATCAGAAAAATGAGAAATTATACCCCATTTGATTCAAATGTATGAATTGTCAAGATCATTGTACTATCATGTGTAACTAATAAAAAATTAAAAAAAAACCACAACACCCATTTTTACATCAAAAGATGACTTTCCTTCATCCCTTTAATCCATGTATGCCTGCAAAAAAGTCAAATTTCACAAGAATAGATGCACTGACTTAAAATGTAGGGAGTATTTCATATGAAGAATCTGATATTTGATGTTCCTTTGCTCAGTATTCCTCATAGAAACACTCTTTCTGCTTCTTACTATCACATGCTCAAAGGTCAGGCCCTCTGTAGGGCCAGATCAGAGTGTACCTCAGTACCTCCGTTGTGTGGTGCTAGAGTCATTGGCTCATTCTGGACAAGCTATGAAGCAGAAGTGAGTAGGGCAGGGGCTTCTTCCTCCTACTTAGGGAAATCAGTGGTGCCAGACATGGGGCCTGGAAGATCTATTCACTACAACCATTTCCCACTAGGCTGGACTCCTCTAAACTGATTTGGAATCATCTAGAACTGCACCAAATTTAGTAGCACTCACTGACCCATGAATTTCACCTGTATGTTTCAAGATCAAAAAGAGTGTTCTATCACAAGAAGCTAAATGATGATACAAGAAGATATATTTTGTGTTATTTTCTGGTATTCTTTAAAAAGTGCAGAATCATGAGAATGTAAGAACAAGATTTAAATTTATGTATTTTTATATAATAAACACTCATAGAATACTAAAAAAAAAAAAAAAAAAAAAGATTCCTGCTCAGCTATAGGCTCAAGAGGCTGAGCTCTAAGGCATCTCTGGAATGGTCTGGAATCCTCTGCTGCTCATACTACAAAGGTGACAAGCCAAGACCCTGTCCCTAGACTCATTCCCACAGGATTCTGAGCCTGGTCTGACCCTTACCTCAAAGCATGGGAGCAAATAGTGGTGGGCATCTAAGAATGAGATTTCTGTCTCCTGAAACTACATGTACTGGGTCCTTATGAGAATCAGATTCCCCCTGTAGAGGTGGCCATATCGGCCACCTATTCAAGAAAGAGGGGAGCAGGCAAGAAAACATAGAGAATCAGCAGAAGCTGGATCAGCCATGCCCAGCATAGCAGCCTTCTCATTTCCCATGTTTGACAGTTTTAATCCGGGCACAGCCCCATGGACACCATCACCTGCAGCCTGATTTAGGCTCGTGGTGATGGCCAGGTCATGGAGGAGTGGGCATTGAGCTGTGTGGGACACAAAGATTGCCTCCTAGACTGGCCTTCATGCCCTCACTTCTCCCCAGGTGACTGGCCAAATTCTCCTACATAGAGACCAAGACCTGTAGAGAATCAGAGGTNGAGGTTTTATAAGCCTAGGATAGTAGTACCCTAGAGATAAATATTCTCACATGGCCCAAGTTCACCCATCTCTCATATCTGCACCCCATGGAATCCTGGGAACATGAAGGGAGCTCTTAATAAATGCCAGAAGGAGAAGTGCCAACTCTCCAGGGGAAGGATGTGCTGAATTCAAGTACAACCTAGAATAACTCACAGCACAGGTTCAGCTGTGATGGCCATGGATTCCTAAGAGACTCATGTTATCACTCCACCAAAAACATCTATGGTTTGAACAAAGCTGCCACATAGCCTGCATTTCCCTTCACAATATCTTTGTTAATGGTTTTAAGAATTAACTTTTAGGGTACTTACCTAAGGACAAATTGTTAGGGGGAAACATTTTAAACAGTAAACACAGAACCTACTTCTAGCTCCATTATGTCTCTATTAGTACTGACATCTCTTGGAAATGTGGACACATATGAAAGAAAATCATACTCTGCTCTGAAAGTACTGAAGATCACATTTGCATATAGTAGCTAGAGATTCCTTACCCAAGAATGAGAAATTAAGTCAGGTAGACTCTTTATGGGGAAATTCCTTAGTCCTAGACAATCCTTCATGTTTTCCCTCAGGACAAAGATCACAAAAAGGCTGCTCTAGTTGATTAAAATCTAGAGTATTTCTGCTGATTTTGAGCAGCCAATGAGTACAGATCTGGCCACCCTCCCAGGCCCTGAGCCACCCTGGGTTTGATTTGTGCAGTGCCCCCATAGGCAGAGTTATGAACTGATGGGCAGCAGAAAACTGTCTGTGTATTCACCATATATATATATATACCCTTGATGAGCCCACATGTGTTTCCTTGCTTAGTCAAAGTGATTATTGTCAGCCTTGGACTTTCTAAGTCTTGCTCATTGTTCTATTCCAGGCATTTTTGGGCACTTATGATTCATTCTTCTGGCTCCTTGTTTCTCAGATCTGACTCTGAAGATGTTGTCTGTGATCTGGTACACATACAGGCTCCCTGTTTCCCAGTATACCCATTTGGACTGAAGCTGTCACTATTCATAAACAACTGTGTATCCTGCATTAAGCAATGTCCCACTTTCTTCTGATCCACTCTATGATCTAAGTTTAATGCTAGACATTGCATATTCTCATTCTCCAGAAGCTCCCTCACCTTCCACTCTACCTGGTMTATGACTGTTTCTYACTTAGGGACAGTTACCAAATTTTCCTCTATGAATTCTTATTGTGATGCATACTGAGAATTACTTATTAACTTGTGTAGACTTAATTAAGTTTCTTTGTTTTGCAGTCTAATCATTGAACTCCAAGGATTCTACCAATAAGCTCTGTTTATATCCCCTTTATATTTTTTCTGAATTTTGACAGAGGGTAGCATTCAGTTGCCC